TCTGTGTGCATGCGTGTGTGTGTATGTATGTGTGTGTGTGCATGTGAGAGAGATCAAGTATCCCTTTATTTGCAATCTACTCTAAGGATAACTAACCCACAAGATATATATCTTGTGGGTTAGTTATCCTTAGAGTAGATTGCAAATAAAGGGATACTTGATCTCTCTCACATGCACACACACACATACATACACACACACGCATGCACACAGAGAGTCTCTTGTTGCTTGAAGGCCCTAGTTAGAAACAGCTCCTCAGTATTGGATTTTCCATCCTCTGAAACTGTACTAAATAACTCTGTGAGCTGGAGAGATCGCTCCATTGGTAAAGTGCTTGCCACCCAGGCCTGAGGACCAGAGTTTGATTGCAAGAATTTGTGTTAAAAACCAGACATGGCTATATGCTCTTATGATTTCACCCTGGAGAAAATGACACGGGTGGACGCCAGGNTAATATAAATATATATATATATATCTTGATAATAACATTCATCGATTTATGGGTGCTGCCCTCATACCTTCATCTCCTGTCCAGAGCGCCCTCTTTAACATGATTACACTGGGAACTGAGTTGAGTTTCCAACATGAGAACCTTGGTGACCCATTCAAGTCCTGACAGCATACCATCTGAGAAAGAGAAAGGACACAGCCATGGAGACACGGAGTCAGGAGGCTCACACCCTGCTTCCTGCAGGCATGTGGTGCTGCTTGGGCTCCATCCTGACTCTGGCCCCATAGCTTCTGCTGCTCCCATCCTCCTGCCTCCCATCTGCCTCTGCGTGCTTCTTCATGCTGCTTCTTCTCAGCCTCGGAGGATCCTTCATATCACAGGTATCAGTCGTCCTTGTCCCCTTGCTTTGTTGATGTTATCAAATGAGCTTCGGCTGCAGCCATCCATCCATCCATCCATCCCTCTGTCTGCCCGTCTGTCTGTCCATCAATCTGTCCATCCACCTTACCTCTACGTACTTAGAGCATCCCACTCAAGCTTTGGTTCCCACCTGGAGGCCCTGCACAATGAGCACCTCTCCATCTGGACACATTACTCTCGCCTCAGCACTCAGGTTAAGCGTTGCCCTTTCTTGCTGTCCCCATGCCCACCCCCATCCTCCATCCAGCACCTCCTCCCTCAGACCACATACCACTACACACTCTGGCCACTGACCTTTCTGTACCCACTGAAGACCAAGAACCCCAAGTGTGGAAGTCATATTTCCTTCCCCTTTGGGTCCTCAGAGGTAAGCAGACTGCTGGGCATATAGACATGCCAACAAATGTTGACAGTGACGCTCCATGTTCTGAACTCGTCAAATGACTGTAGGCGTAGGCCGCTTGTTCGTTTCCCAGCCACCCAGACCCAAAATAATCACACAGAAACTGTATTATTACAACATTTCGTGGTCCATTAGCTCATGCTTCTTATTGGCTAGCTCTTATATCTTAAATTAACCCATTTCTATTAATCTGTGTAGTGTCATGTGGTTATGGCCTGCTAGTAAGTTTTCATCCAGCATCTGGCATCTGTCTCCTGCAGCAGCTACATGGCTTCTCATTGACTCCTCCTACTCTCTCTTTATATATCTTTTCCATCCTGGCTATATTCTGTTAAACAATTGGCCCAAAGCAGCTTCTTTATTAACCAATGGCAGTAAAACACAGCATACAGAGGGTAACCCCGTATCAAATGACGGTGGGTTTCCTTCTTGTTTTTCACTGTAGGCACTAAATGATTGCCCTGCTACCAAAAGTACTCATTTGCACACTCAAGTTGTCAGGCAAGTAATGGCATTATGGGATGTGACGAGCAGGATGATGCTGAGTCTTTTCACTGTCATTTGCATTTAGACGTGTGTGTGTGTGTGTGTGTGTGTGTGTGTATTCAAGTATGGTGCATGTAGAAGCCAGAGTTCTCCACTGAGTGCCCTCTTCAGTAGCTCTCCACCTTATTTTTATTTCTTTTCTTTGCATGTGCATGTAGTGTGAACACGTGTGTTTCTATGTGCTCATATGTGTGAGTGCACACCTAGTATGTGTGTGTGGAGGGAGGCCCGAGGTTGATGTTGGGTATTTTCCTTAATCGCTCTCCACAATTTTTTCTTTTTAAAAATTTATTTTATTTTTGTTTATGTGTATGCATTCATTTCTACATAGGAGCCTTATTACATGAGTGCAGCTTCCTGGGGAGGCCAGAAGAGGGTGTTGGGTCCCCTGGAACTGGAGTTAAAAGTGATTGTTAGCTTCCCAACATGGGTACTAGTAACTGGACTTGGGTCCTCTACTGGAGTGGCAAGTGCTCCTAACTCCTGAGCCATCTCTGCAGCCCTGTAGTGTTACTATTTGAGGTGGTCTCTCACTGAACCCAGAGCCTGACCATTATTCACCTGGGGATCCTTTACCACCACTTTCTGGGTGCTGGGATTACTGGCAGGCCACCATGCCTACCAGGCATTCACATGAGTTCTGGGGTGTGGCGAGCCCACAGTTGGTCCTCATGGTTGCGGAACAAGCATTTGTCTCCTGAGTTACCTCCACAGCCCCTCACCTTGTTTTTTAAGACAGCGGGGGCTTGCAGATTTGGCGAGGTTGGCTGACAAGCAAGACAATCCTCGTGTCTCCACCTCATCAACCTTGGGATTACTGCAGCAAACTGCCATGCCCGGCTTTTTACATGGGTGCTGTGGTCCAAACCCATGGCCTCAAGCTTGCACGGCATTTCACCAACCAAGTCCTCTTATATGTCTCCAAGAATTTATAGTTTTAAATTCTGCCATCTTACATTTTATCTTCTTGGATATGAGAGTCAGGAATTAAACTAACAGAGGCTAACGTAACTCTGCATCTTTCTTTCTTTCCGTTAATATTCACTTCACTTTCTCCCCACTCCAACCTCAAAGCTGGACTGCATTCTTCCATTGCTTTCTCAAGGACAGACTATGGCTGCCCAGAGCTTCAAGTCCATCAGCTTGGTGAACCAGGTAGACTGACAGGGCCATGGATCCAAGAGCAAATTGTTAGAAACTGTGTTGGGTTTTGTTTGTTTGTTTGTTTTAGTTTTTTCTCCTTTGATTTAATCAGTGAGATGAGGACACACAACGACAAACACAGAGCTGCAGAACTGCTCCCAGGGGACAGGTTTTGGCTCTCAGGTCAAGAAGAGTTAGTAAAACATGTCTTCCGTTTGGAAAACATCCCTAAGACAGAGATGGTGGATGTCAAAGGACCGCTTAGCAGCAAGTGTGAGCTGTGTGTAATATCATGATCAGCCTAACTAAGTGTTAAGACAGAGGGTGGCATTCTCCACAAAGGCACAGTTGGATGTGTAAAGACTCTCACAGATAACAAGTCAAGTACAGGTTCTTTAAAAAAGGACATCACTGGAACTGGAGAGATGGCTCAGTGGTTAAGAATGTTTACTGCTCTTGCAGAGGACACAGGTTTAATTTCCACATGGGGCTTACAATTGCCCGTTAACTCCAGTTTCAGGGGATCAGAGTCCTCTTCTGGCCTCTACGGGCACTGCATGCACACAGTGCACATAATTTCATGAAGGTGCATACATATAAATAAAATACACAAATCTTTTTAAAAAGGACATTAGTACAGACAGGGTTACCCTGATGATACCAAAACTGGATTAAAATATATAAGATTAAAAATAAAAAAACAAGTATGTGGCTCGGTTGGTGCAATGCTTGCCTAGCATGCACAAAATCCTGGGTTCAAGCCCCAGAGGCTGTTTGCACTGGGCATGGGGGTAGAGTGGGATGGAGACTGGAGGATCAGAAGTTCAAGGCCAGCCTGGCATATATGTTCTCACAAGAGAACAAAAACACAACAGAGTTTCGGCAGACAACACCAAGGAACTCCATCACAGAACGACTGCGAAGAAGGAAATGATAGAAAAAAGTTCAGAAAGATGAAAGGCTGGAGGGTTGGTTCCGATGGCCATCATCCAACTAGCAGGGATTCTAGGAAAACAGGGAGAGAGAAAGGGAAAGTCGGCACAGGTACACAGAAACTAATCGAACCGAAAAGCCCAGCAATTATTGACCTGGGGGAGGGGGACGGGACAAAATGCCCAAGGACACATAATCCTCCTAGGAACTCGCTTCAACAGCTAACAATATTTCATTGTCTAGAGAGGCCATTATAAACATTGAGCATTGCTTTCACTGAAAGTGATATGAACGGAGTGTACGGAATCCGGGGGCGAGAAATCTTTCTAGGGAGAATTTAAAACATCTAAATCGTTAGCTTCCTTAATAGGAAGTTTGGGATATCCCAATAACCCAAGAAGAGTAGTGTTGGTTTAAACGTTGGAGAGCTGGGGCTAGAGAGTTGGGGCTAAGAAGGAGTACCACACTCCTGCACAGTTTGGTTCTCAGAAAGAGCCAGGGGGCTCCTTAAGTGCCTGCACCTCCAGCTCCAGGGGTCTGGCGCCCTCTTTAGGCCCATGGGCCCTTGCGCTCACGTCTGTCCCCAGACATAGCTGCCAACACCATATACTTCTTATCTCACAAGTTTGTGCATGTTTGCTAGAATCACACTTAAAATTTTATTTTTTTCTAAAAATTGAATCTGGAATGTTCCCCAAATCCCATGTGTTGAAGAACTACCCAAGCTTGGTGCTGTTGGGAGACGGTGGAGGTTTTAAGTGGGGATCGGGTGGGAGGCCTTCTGGTCATCGTAGGTGTACCTGTGAAGAGGGGAATGGGGCCCCACGGTAGAGGGCTGGTATCCATAGAGGTGACTTTGATGCCATACTAGAAGTAGCAAGAGTTCCCTTCTTTACAGAGTAATGGTCGTGAGGAGGCCAGGGAGTGGGGAGTTTCCTGGTGATAATGAGCTCGTTCCCACTGCAGTGTTGGAGCTGATAATGGAGGCGATGTGGGTGTTGAAGTTCCCACCCTCACGTCACTTGTCTGCCTGCTCTTGCCTAAGGAAAGCAGGGTCCATCAACAGCACCATCAACCGCACACTCTTTGGGTTTCCACATGCAGGTCGGAGCTCTGCCCCGGTTGTGTGACGTGCTGCGCATCCTGCAAGAGGAACGGGCCCAGTGTGTGCAGGAGCTCTCCAAAGAGAAGGCAGGAGAGTTGGGCCTGGAGACAGTGTCAGGTAGGAGGCCTCCCTCAGCCCAGGGGCACTCCGCAGCGGGGTCCTATCCTGTCGTCTGGGGGAATGGCTTGTCCTCAGGACCAAGTGGGCTGTCCAGGGTAGGTCGGGGTTTGTCCACTCCATCTGCTGTCAGATCGGGCACATGGTCTCAGTGGACTTGGAAGCCTCATACTTCCTTTCTCTGGACAGCCAGTGCTTTCTCGCCATCTGCTTCTGCACACACAGTTTATCAAGGTGAGTTTTTTGTTGTTGTTGTTTGCTAGTTTATAAATCTTTGAGTGTGTGCACATGTATGGAGTGTGTGTATGATACATGTATGCCTCTGTGTGTGTGTGGGGGGGACATACCAGAGCATAGGTGTAGAAGTCAGAGGAGAACTGGTACCTGTTTGAGACAAGGCCTCAACACTGCTGCCCGTACCAGGCTAGCTAGCTGGCTGGAGAGCTTCCAAGGTCTTTCCTGTTTCTTCCTCCCACAGGAATGCTGGGATTGCATATGTGTGATTTTACACCTGGCTTTATGTAGGGTCTAGGGCTCTGAACTCAGATCCTCATGTTTGTAACAACAAGTACTTTTGCTGTTCAGTCACCTCCCCGACCCAAAGCGGAGGTTTGGTGGGAAGTGTTTCACGGGGTCATGGTTCTCTCATCCATACCCTTTAGATGCTGAGGAGCAGGGCGGAAGGGGCAGGATGGTGTCAGAATGGCAGGAGTGGGGGGAACATCTGCTGCTGACGGTGCAGAGCCAGATGCTCAGAAGAGACTTCTGTGCTGAGAGAATTACGGAGACACTGTCCTTGGTTGCCAGATGACAGACTCAGAAGTTTACTAGGAGTACCGTGCTGAGATTTCACTCAACACAGACGGAAACACGTGTCCCCGGTTTCTGGATGTCTCCTGACGACTCCTCTCTGGAAGCCCTATATGGGCTTAGAAGCATCTTTAAACTTCTTAAAAATTTTGAAATATTTATTTTATTTTACATGTATGAGATTTTGCTCAGAAGTTTGTGTGCCCCTGCATTTCTGGGGCCTGAGGAGGGCAGAAGGCAACATCGGATCCCCTGGAGCTGAGGCTACAGAGGGCTGTGAGCCACTGTCTGGGTGCTGGCTCTTGACTGGGCTCCTCTGCTGGGACAGTAAGTCTCGTACCCACTGAGTCATCTCTCCAGCCCTGCCAGGGAGCATCTTAGCAAATATGGCTGTGTATAGCACCCTCTACCCCCAGCTTCCAAAGAGGGTACCACTAACCACCCCCACATCCTTGTGTAGGGAGTGCTGACTGGCACTCACTGGTTGTGTGACTGTAGCAAATTATTTAACCTTCTGAGGCCCAGTTCCCTGCTCTCTAGAATGGAGATAACCATGTCTGCTTCAGAGTTATAATGATAAGTGTGGTAAAGTAGGCCCGGGGCAAAACCCTCCATTCAATCCATAGCACCATGGCCATCTACCAGTCAGTAAATACATACTTACCATTATTATCAATCAACACTATTGTATGTTTTGTATTTGAGTATTAATTGTATTCTCATCCTCTTCTTTGCTGTCTATCATCTAAGAAGGTATCATTAAGAAAAGAACCTGGGGCTGGGGAGATGGTTAAATCAGTTAAGTGTTTGCCTTGGAGACATGAGAGCCTAAGTCATATCCCAAGGATCCAATTTTAAAAAGCTAGGCATGTGGCATATACTTGCAATTCCCATGCTGGACTGGAGGGACATGCACCAGGTTCTTGGGGCTCACTGGACAGCCAGACGAGCCATGTTGGCGAGTTACAGACCAATGAGAGACACTGACTTAACAAACAGGATGATGATATTCTGAGGTTGTCTTCTGACTTCCACATGAACCCACACACACATGAATACACAAGACCACACACATACATGCACACACACACAAATACACAGGAACACATACACATGAATACACAGAAACGCATACACATACATGCACACACACAAATACACACACATCATATGATATACAGAAACACAGCGTAAATACACAGGAACACATACACACGAATACACAGAAACACACACGTATACATAGGAACACACACATACGAATACACAGAAACACACACACACACACACATGAATATACTGGAACAGACACATACACACACATAAATACCCCACATGAATACAAAGGAACACATACACATTCACATGAATACACACACAAATACACAATAATACACATATGCACACACAAATACACAGGAACACACTTTCACACACACAAATACACATACGCACACACATGCACACACAAATGAATACATAGGAGCATACGCATACACATATGAGTACACAAGATCATACACACATGCACACATACAAATACACAGGAACATGCAAACACTCCACATGAATACATAGGAACACACACACAAATCCACGGGAACACACACACACATACACGTTGAGGATTATCCTTAGAACCAGGCAGGTGTCATGTGCTCTGAGACAGATGCAGGACCCGGGCGGGAGGGGCTGAGGGGTGCTCCTATTCCTGCCCTGTGACCCAGTAAGTCTCTCCCAAGGTTCTGCCTTGGCTCATGCTCTTGGGAGCAGTCAGGGGACTCTGCTGGGGGCCGGGGTTAATGGTTAAGCTGTTTATTCTCCCGGGTAGAGGTTAATGTTTAAAGCTAGACAAATGACAGGAAATGCCACTGGGGAAGTGTCACCAAGCCTGGCACATTCACCACAAATAAACAATTAACTCTCCAGCTCTTCTCAGCTAGGTGACCAAGTCCACTCCGTGGGAATGTCTCAGGGTCATGCCCCTGGTCGCACTCCTGGGATGTTTATTTCTTGGTTTACAGAAGCCATCACCCTCTCAGAGTGGGCAGGGAGGTGTTTCTGGCTCTCCCTCCAAGAAGAGTGTTCCAGAAGAATAAAACGGTGGCCAGATGTTTGCAGGTTCTGTGGTCATAACAGATGTGGGCATCCATCCGGCTTTGTCACATAGATCTCTGTGACCCCTGTGTGACCTCTCTGGATCAGGCTGGCCTCCAACTCACAGTGATCCTCCTGCCTCTGCCTTCCGAGTGCTGGGATTAAAGGTGTGCACCACCACTGCCTGGTACCTTTGGACTTTTCTGCCAAGATGAAATTCGTATTAAATTAATCCCTTGGAGGTTTACATTCCTCTACCATTGGTCATACCATGCAACCACTTGTATCAAGTTCTAAAATGCTCTCATCAGGCAAGGAGGAACTGTGGGCTCCCTGCTGACCTCCTCCATCAGCAGGTACAGGGCCCTGAGCAGGACTGCTCCAAGTCCTCTGTCAGATGCTCCAGAAATAGCCCCGGGTTATCGTCAGGCCATCTGTGCTGATTTATAAATAAACCAGGGGCTGAGGGTGGCCCTCGCGGGTCAGCACGGGAAAAAGTAAAAGTTAGCAGAGGGCTGGCTGGCTGTAATCCAGCTGGCTGGGGCCCTGAAGATGCCTAAGGCCCCATTCTGCTCTCCAGCTCAGCCTTCCCTCTTTCACCATCCAGCTTCATCCTATACCTGCCTCTGGGGGTGTGTCTAGGCAAGACACAGACACGCATGGTACTGGGTGTCTGCCTTGGGGATCTTTCCTGTACCCCTCCCAGGGTGGCAACAGACCCTCGTCTATTCACTGTGGCTTTTATTTTAACTCCATTCTCTTGGTGAAGCTGACACTTAAGCTTGGCATTTTCTGAGAAACACCTCAAACTTTGTTCTGTGTAGGCTGTAGCTAACAGATCCCTGCCCCTGGCCACAGGGCTGCTCTACACATGGCGGGAAGTGCGCTCTTCAAGGCTCTGTGGTCTCTCCATAGCCTTTCTCCTCTGAACCATCTGACATTCAATTATATGGCTTGTCTTGTGCCTTTCTCCTTCCCTCCCTCCCTCCCTCCCTCCCTCGCTCCCTCCCTCCCTCCCTCCCTCCCTCCCTCAATTCATCCCTCTCTCCCACCTTCCCTTTCTCCCTCCCTCCCTTCTTTATTTTCCTCCTTTCCTCTTTCTTCCCCATCCTCTTTCCCTCCCTTCCCCCTCTCCCTGTCCCTTCTCTCCTTCTCTTCTCTTCTTTCTTTCTTTCTTTCTTTCTTTCTTTCTTTCTTTCTTTCTTTCTTTCTTTCTTTCTTTCTTTCTTTCTTTCTTTCTTTCCAGGGTCTCATGTAGCCTAGTCTAGCTTCAAACTCACTAGGTGGTCAAAGATGACCTTGGACTTCTGATCCTCCTGCCTCTGCTTGCTGAGAGCTGGGATTACAAGTCTTTACCATTGTGTTTGGTTTATGTGGTGCTGAGGCCGGAATTCAGGGCTGTGTGCATGCTAGGCAAGCACCTCCCCCACCCCAGAGCTAAAGCCCCCCTGGCACCCTGTTAACTCTTCTTTCATCTTTTGAAGAGATAATAAAAATACATAATATTCAGATAAAAATTATTCAAACAAGTACCACCCAAAAGCCTGGGCCTCCATGTGGGCAGTTTCCTTGCCTGTCAGGAATCCCTAGGTCTGCTCTTAGCCTTCTTTGCCCAGAGGCTGGAGCTGAACTTGCTAAAGAAGCATCTGTGGGTGTTTAGCAAGTATGGGGTTAGGAGGCAGTTCTGCTGCCGAGGAGGGGCATGCTGACAGGGTCAGCCTTCCCTGGGCTGAGGAGACAGGAATGCTGTGTGGGATCCCAACGCTATCAGTGCCTCTGCTTTTGCAACTCTGACAGCACCCTAGAGTCCTCTGTTCTTCCTCTAAACATGGGAAATTGACACCCCGTTACACCTGGGCTGTTGGGATAATCAGCTCCAGAATGCCACATAGCTCAGACCTGACATGGTTCCTCCCAGCCCAGGGCCTGGCTGGCATGAAGAGTGTCTCTGAGCCAGCTGGCAGGGATTCCTACCTTCCCCAGGCACTCTTACCAGGCCTCAGCCAGCTCTAGGTTGGCTGTTCTGTGGGCCCTGCCCAACGTGACCTCCAGAAGGTTCTCAGACACTCTGACACCTCAGTCTGTCTGGCCAGGCAGGCAAGGTCATCTGCCACATGGACTGGAGCCTTTGGCTAGTGCTTAGTGGCCGGGTCAGCTCCAGTCAGCTCTGAGTTTTTTTTCTCGGGTCACCTGCCTCCAATACTGCAGACCCACTGAGCAGACGAGGAGACTGCGTCCAGCAGCCACATGGAAACGTGTGCTTAAGGAAGGGGACGTGGGTTTCTCTTTGGCCTCCTGGGGCTCCAGGTGGTGGAAAGAGAGGGCAGTATCTTCAGAAAAGGATCCAGGCAGGGCCAAATCACAACCGTTGTATCCCTTTTGTCATTGCTGGGACAAAAACAGATAAAGAAAGGAAGGGTGGCTTTGGTTCACAGTCTGAGGGTGTGGTTCCTCATGGCAGAGCAGGCCCAGCATCAGGGGCTTGAGGGAGCTGCGCAGATTGCACCCACATCCCATCGCAGTGGGAAGGCATGGCAGCCGGAGCATGGTGCAGCCGCTCACAGCGCATCCACAGTCAGGAAGCAGAGAGAGGTGAAGGCTGGCACTCAGCTCATCTTCTCTTTTTCTGCTCACCCCAGCCCTTGGAGTGGTGCTGCTCACGGTCAAGGTGGCTCCTCCTACCTCTGTTAACTCATTCTGGAAACTCCTGCGCAGGCATGCCCAGAAGTTTATCTCCTATGTGAGTCTAGATCCCATCAAGTTAACAGTGAACGTTGACTCTCACACCCAGGCAAAGCTGGGAAGATCCCTCTCAGGCCTGGAGCGAACATTCACAACTGGCTGGCAGAAGATCAGCCTCTGGAATGATGGGACAGACACTGTGCTCTGTGGCAGTTCCAAGCTCACTGAGATTCTGGATGAAGATTCAGAAGCATTCAAGGGTTGCTCGCCTCTTGGGTTCCTTGAAGGACCAATGTCTCATCCTTGGTCATATGTCCTCATAGCATCATTATCCTTTCTCAGTACAGTTTCCATAGTAACCTGCCCCACCATAAAGGCTCTATCCTTACTTCGCATCAGAAGCAGCTGGAAGCGTGTTCAGTACACAGACCTGTGGGTTTTGGATTCTAACTCAACCATTGGGAGGTCAGACCCAGAATATGGCATCTCATAAACTCCCCAGAGATGCAGCTCTGTGTGCATCAGGGCTTTGGAGAATCTGCTCAGTCTTCCCGTCTTCCCTGGTATGCCCTGGTCAGTGGGTACAGAGTACCCCAGCTTCCAGCACCCAGCAACAGAAGCAGTCATTGACTTAGCTTCCAAGTACTGTTGTCCACCAAGCAGAGGGTCCCCAAGAGCAGAAGCTTATCTGGTGGCCTACAGTCGGAGTCTCTAGACCTCCCGTGGACCTGGCATAGCAAAGGTAGTCAATATGGGCTATGAACTAGTAGAGGAATCAATGCTGGCACAGCCTCCTCTACCTGTAAGCTCGGCCTTGACATCTCTGCAACTTCTCAGTTCCATGTCTTCACCTGGCCCTCCACTCTCTTTGATTTGGTGTTTGTGGGGGGACCCAAGGCATTTGATTCAACCCCTACTGTACAGTGAATCAGAAGCCATGAAATAGAGGGGAGAACGGTTTACTGAGTCAACACAGCCATGAAACACAGAGGGAAGATGCGTCTGCCTAGCTCGCCATTTGGTGCTGATTCATAGTCTCCATCCCCCTGACCTGTCTTGAGGCATTGGTTAATCCCAGGTAGGCTCAGGGGCCAGTATGAAGAGGCACAAGGAGGTGTGTGTGTGTGTGTGTGTGTGTGTGTGTGTGCATGTGTGTGTGTACACAAGGGATGGGCCTGGCCAGGATGAATGGGGTAGCAGAGGGTACAAAGGCCTGGGGAGGTAAGAAAGTAAGTCATGTGGTGTGTTTCTGCCCTGTTAGTAGCGCCAGCACCTACTGGGTCTGAGAGAGGCTTTGAAGGACAGGGCAGGCTACAGCCCAGGACAAGGATGGAGGGAATCTGGAAGAATAAGGAAGTCCTTTACTTGGATAGCATTGTATTTGTTTTGTATTCTTAAGAATACAAAATTCTTAAGACAGAATTATATTTGGCCTCAATCTTGCTGTGAAGTTGAGGATTCTCTAGAACCTTTAATCCTTCTGCCTCCTCCCTACTGGGATTATAGGCATGTGTTACCATACCTAGTTTTTGTGATCCTGAGGACAAAACCCAGGGTCTTGCGCATGCTAGGTAAGTGCTCTACCAGCTGAGCCACACTCTCAGCCCTGGAGTTATGAGAGGTTCTCCATAGGCTCACATGTTAATCCCTTGCCCAGTGCATGCAAGACCGTGATTTCCATCCATACCCCAACCCTGGAAAGGCGGAGTTCAAGGAGTCATATAATAGTAACTGGGCTTAAAGGGTGGTGATGGTGGGCAGCCCTGGTCTGTGCTCCATCCCAATCCAGTGCTGGGCTCTTCTCTGCAGGCTGCGAAGGGCTGTGGGACAACATGAGCTGCTGGCCCTCCTCAGCACCAGCGCAGACTGTGGAAGTGCAATGTCCGAAGTTCCTCCAGATGCTCACGGGCAGAAATGGTAACCATGCAGCTTGAATGGCCCTGGCCAGAGGTTGTAAAGGCTCCTGCATGAGAATGCAGGGGTCTCTGAGGACAATCAGTGGGTGAACCCATAAGGGGAGGTCTCTGGAGACCGGAACTGTTGCATGACTATGCTGTGCTGTATGAGAGCAGTTTGCAGGGTCACGGGAAGGAACTGGGAGACAGCGTTTTTAGGGAAGGCTGAGATTAGTGAGATGGCTCAGCATGCTGCAGGGGCTTGCCGCCACGTCTGTGGATCTGAGTTTGCTCGTCATGGCCTACGTAGTGGAAGAAGAGAATTGACTCCCACAACTTGTTCTCTAACCTCCATACAGGTGTCCCAAAAAGTAATTTAATAAAAGAGGAGGAATAGGAGGAAGAGGAGGAGGAACAGGAGGAAGATCAGGAGGGGAAGAGGAGGAAGAGGAGGCAGCAGCCTTGGCCCCAGTTTAGGAACCCTCTCCCCTTCCTCCATGTTTCTGCTTCCTCGGTGACCCGCTTCAGACACCCCACAGTGACTGACATGAGGCACTTGGGTCCATAAAGCTTAGGACTCAGGCCATTCATGCCTCCGTGGTTGGCTTGGAGCCATGCGCTGGCCCTAACATCCAGGTCTCATCCATGGCTGACCAGGTTCCTGTTGAAAAGGACTTCTGTCTACCGACCATCTCCTCAAAGCCTTCTCTGAGCCGGCACAGCTATCCTTCTGCAGCGTGGCTAGGAGAAACCACTGCCTGTGGCCCCAGGGTGACCAGAGGCTTGCCTGATCACACCCCTCCCCAGTTAACTGCTTGAACTCCCGCCCACCCCATTAACTGGAAGACTTCTGAATGATCAGTTTTCCTCGCTGCAGCTTCACCTACCTACCACATGGTGTCATTGTGGGGCCGCAGGTTTACACTGAGGCCCTGCCTTGTAGGTGGTGACCTGGTAGGTGGTGGCCTGGTTCCTGGGTTGGTGGGAGGAACAGCTCATTCCAGGGACTCATACCTAGCCTCAGGGAGTTGGCTGGCCCAAGAGCGTGGGTCAGGACCTGTCTGAGCCTGCTGTTCACCAAGAACTTTTCTCTCCCACGGTTCTATCTTGGATCTGATTAGACATTTGCTCTCTGGCCCTCCAGAGAAGAAGTTTCCCTATAGTGTGTCCCCAACTCCAGAGAGACGTACTCATGGACACCAGTCAGTGTTCAGGGCAACTTCTTTTTGAACAAGGAAAACACATTCTAGAGTTATTTCCTAAGTAGTTCTTTACCACAACAGGCTCCACACTGGCCCAGACAGGCATCTGAGTGGCTGGGAAAACTGCAGGCTGCTTTCTGCCTCTGAGAGTTCTCATGCCAGCCTTAGAACTTCCTTTGAATGTCTCAATGTCCTTGAGACATTCCTTTGATTTATTTTCCTTTGAAAACAGTACTGGCATTTTCAAAGTTTCTTGTTTTAAATGTAGTTAGCAGGACATGATCCCCCAGGCCTATAATCCCAGCATCCTCTGAAGCTGAGGCAAGAGGATCCCAAGTTTGAGACCTTTCTGAGCAACTCAGTGAGACTGTCCCAAAATAAAGAGTAAAAGGAAGGAAGGGCTGGGGAGATGGCTCAGTTGGTAAAGCACTTGCCGCACAAACACGAGGACCTGATCCCTACCAACCATAGAAAAGCTTGGCACAGAGAGGCATGCCTGTGCCCTCAGTGCTGAGGAGGCAGGGGACGTAAGATCTGGAGCTGGCTGGCCAGTCAGCTTAGAATACTAGGCCGGACTAGGTTAGGTGAGAAAACTTGTCTCAAAAAAATAAAGCAAAGAGTGGTCAAGGAAGATACTTTATGTCAGTATCTGACCTCCCAGTACACACACACACACAGTAAAAAGGGTTAGAGATAAATTTTAGTGAGAAAGCTCTTGCCTGGCATGTCCCAGGCCCTAGGTTCAATCTCAATCTCTCTCTTTCTCTCTCCCTTTCTTCTCCCTTCGCCCCGCACATGTACACTCTCTCTCTCTCTCTCTCTCTCTCTCTCTCTCTCTCTCTCTCTCTCTCTCTCTCTCTCTCTCTCTCTCTCTCTCTCACACACACACACACACACACACACACACACATACATTTCTGGGTGGGATCAGGCTGGTACATCCTTTTAGACAGGTTCTGCCCTGAACTGCGATGCATGCGCATACAGACATGCAAACTGAGGCTTTCGGGGCTCTTAGGAAGGAATCCCTAATAAGGGATGAACCCCAGAGGAAGTGAGTGGAGAGAGGGGGTGGACAGAGCCCACCCTTTTGCTGTTCTATAGAGATGTTCCATCTGCACCACGTAGGCTTGTCAAAGGCTCAGGAGCCAACCCCAGTCACAGTCAGATATCTTGGGAATGCTACTGGGTCCCTGAGGATAGAGGGCCCTAGACGGGCAAGCAGCTGTGCTGTGCTGGGCCCATAGAGAGCCTGTGCCGACAGCCTCCGGCTCTGGAGCCATTTCTATCCAGTCAGTGGACTTTTGACCATCATTCTTTCCCATGCCACAGTTGCTCCCCGACTTCATTCCAAAACTTTCTCACCCCTCCTTTGAGCACTAAGACTCTATGTCCTGCTCATGCCTGCCTCTTGCGGGAAGGTCACTTCTGGCTGGCACCAGCCTGGGCATTTCTTTACGTCACTCTGTGGTGAGGGTGATGTGGGTAAAGCCTCATTAAGACCAAGAAATTGCGCTGGGCAGAGAACTGTGATTCGGTCGGTTCTAGGCTGGCGGTCCCGGCTTTGTGAACCTTGTAAGGGTGGACATGTCTAGGGCCCTAAAGACATGGCCTTCTGAGACTGGAGGCCACCCTGGGGCGATAGGGAGTGCCCCAGACGGGAGGGAGCTGGTGCTGGCACGCACCCTGGCTGCGCATTGCTTCCCAGTGCACCTTCACTGGGCTGTGGGAAGAGAGCAGGATCCATACAGAAAGTGTTTAGAACTGGACCGGTCTGAGAAAGGCTGTCAGAGTTTCTCCAGCTCAGAGCCTGTTGGACCCAAATCGCAAATGATGACCTAGGCCCTGGGGTCACTAAGAGAGAGAAAGTCAGGCCTAGCAATGATTGTCAAGGGGCCACTAGACAGAATTCCCACCCATGAAATTGGTGATGGCACCCTCAGTCTGTGAAGGACACAGGCCCTTGGTGACTGGGATGAAAATTCAGATGGTCATTCAGACCAGGGAGGGCAGTGTCTGCTGGAACCTGCGGGAGGCCTTCTCTGGCTGGTGACTCCACTCTGGCCAGTGGCTCTGCCCTGGCCAGTGGCTCCTTTTCCTTTGTCTTTGGATGCTGGCTTTGAAAAGTCAGGTGGGGGCAGGAAAGGGTAGGTGTTAGAATGTGTACCTAGCATGCAGGAGGTCCTGGTGAAATCCCTAGAGCATACATGTGCATATACATACAAGCACACACATGTACTTCCCAGTGGGAAATTCTCCCTTCCAATAGTGTACCCCATGCAGAAGGAAACTCAACCCAGTTCTCTAGGAGAAGAGCTTGGCACAGGTCTACCTACCTCACACCTTACTCTGCCTGTGAAGCAAGCCAGTGTTGATGCCCAAGGACTTGGGGCCACACTCTTAGTTCTAGGAAATCAGTACCCAAGTGTTCAGAGGAGTCAGCCTGCAGCGTTGTGCCAGGCAGGGATGGAGGACAGACAGTTTCAACTATCTCAACAGGCAGCCTTGATGGCAAGCAAAGGAATTCCTTCCACGAGGGGCAGTTGCCTGACAGGCTTTGCCTCTGTGGTGTCTGATGGTTTCCATCTGGTGAGACGGGCAGGACACAGTGGGCAAGTGTGAAGATGCAGAACCTTTAAAAAAAATGCACTTGTAATACCAGTGCCAGTGTGCAGAGGCAGGGGAATCCCCGGGACTCTCTAACCAAATGGATTAGTCTAATTGGCAAATTCCAGGCCTGTAAGAGACTGTGTCATGTCAAAAAGCCCCGGTGGATGGCATCTGAGGAATTGGACCCAAGGTTGACCTCTGACCTCACAGAGACAGGGGGGAAAGGGGGGAAAGATGGAGGGGTGGAAGAACGGAGGGAGGGAGAGGGAGAGAGACAGACAGAGAGGGAGACAGACAGATAGACAGAGAAAACTGTGAGGGCCCAAGGATTCACTGTAACAGAAGCTAAGTTCTTGCCATCCACCCAGATGTCTCAGGACCCCCCTATTGCATCAGTAGAACTGGGGTGCAAGTAAGAACGGGAATCTGTACATGGTGTGAAGAGCAGACCCAACCCCGATTCTCCATTTACTGAGATAATGATGTGGGCAAGTTACATCACCACTGCATGCCTCAATTTGCCCACCTGTAAAATGGTGGTAATATTTTCATGTCACCAGAGACTGTACTGTATGGTTCCATGGCCTGATCCCCTCTACTCATCTGTCGTACACTTGTCACCCTCAGGGTCCCTCTTCAGGAACTGCACCCAGGACGGCTGGTCAGAAACTTTCCCCAGGCCTGACCTGGCCTGCGGCGTCAACATGAATGACTCCTCTAACGAGAAGCGGGTAAGCCTGTCATGCGGCACCACCGGGCCCCGAGATGGGTGAATGCAGGATGAGGTCCTAGACAGGACGTGGAAGTCAGAGAGGACCTGCGGCCAGTGTTATCAGCATGTGCCATCACATCTCCTTCATAGGGTGCGGGGATGGAGCCCAGGGCTTGGTGCACTCTGGGTAGGCAGCACTCAACGGGCTGAGTCCCATCTCTGCTCAAACTTTGTTATTTTGGTTAAAACCCTCCTCTGTCCTCTGGCTGACGATGACATGCCCTGCTTGGCTTTTCCTCCTTCCTTCCTTCTTTTCTTCCTTCCTTCCTTCCCCCCTCCCTTCGTTCCCTCCTTCCTTCCTTCCTTCCTTCCTTCCTTCCTTCCTTCCTTCCTTCCTTCCTTCCTTCCTTCCTTCCTTCTTCTCTTCCTTCCCT